ACAGTGCCGTAACTTCACCCTTCGGGGCCCTGGGGCTCAAATTTTTGCCGGGGCCCTTTCTAAAACTTTGTGTACTCCATCTCTAATCGTCATTTTAGCTACTTATGTATCATGTTGATTAATATATTTATGAAAATAAGTCACTTGTTCACATAGAAATGGGATTACAAAATATTGTAAGTTGTAAATTTAACCCTAGAATGTAAAATGTTACATTTAAAAAAATTAATTTTTAATTACAAAACACAAATAAGTGACTTCAAGGCATCTAAAAATAATTACAAAACACATACTAAATACAGATTTTAAATGTATTTAATGGTTCTAGTTTGGTAGATAGATTTATACACTTAGGTTTGTTGAGAAAGATTATAATACATCAGTTTGCATTAAAATACATGTCTAGAATAAAGATTTCATATTTAAAATTTTACATTAGTTTCAGTTTTTGAAAAATATTTAAAGTAAATTGTAAAATAGATTTCATAGTAATAAAATTTTTTAAAAAAGGTGAAAAGAAATTTTTTTTTATATAAAATAAAAAAAAGTCATAAAATGATATTTACAATTATTAGTACAAAATATAAATCCATCCATAATTTGAAACACAGTCCACTAAATTTGCTAATCTATTATTCATTAATAAAAATTAAATAATAAATTATAACAATTTTAAAATTGCTGAACATAAATCTTTCTAAAATCAGAAATAAAAAATTTCAAAACTTAAAATTAATTTCTCCTGGCCTTAGTTGCCGCAAATTCATCAATTATATCGCTGAAATCAATATTTCGTGCTCTTTCGTTTTCAATAAACAATAGAGTAAGTCCATTCAATCGATCCTGTCTCATCGAACTTCTCAAATAATTTTTCATAAGTTTCAATTTTGAGAAAGTATAACAACAAGTATAATCTCTACACACTGTCACACATACATCCTTAATCCATTATAGTGATTTTTGTTAGTAACTGACAATTTTTAATGTTTTTTTCTTTTCTTATTTCAAATTTTATTGTCGTAATCTAAATGTAAATACTCAAAGTCATTAACTTCTCTGTTAATTTCTTAATTCAGTGAGATTTTCATACAAAAATTTCCTTCAATTTTAGTTCAAATAGGGGAAAAATTAATTATCTCATACACATTTTATAGATAAGCAATTACATTTAAAAGAGATGTTTAACAACTATTTATATTTTAGACTTTCCTTTCCTCCTAAACCAGTCGTTTATCATCATATAGGTCAGTCATTTTAGATATAAAATAAAGTTTCAGAGCTTCCAAGTGTAAAAGTTATTTTTTTTCAAGTGTTACATTAGAATACTAGGAATAAGCATAAGAAATTTTTATGATATAGTATAGTATAGTTACGCTAGAATTTTCTTTCAAATGTTAAAGGGTAGGATATATTAATTTTAAGACATTATTAATATGAGGAAAAGAAAGAAGAAACAAAATATCTCGATTTGACTAAGATTTCTTACATTTTGAGAAACGAACAAACTGTGCTTTTAGAAAAAGATTCTAAGTTTGAATTTTAACGTTTTGTCTGCATATTAAGACATTTTTACGTATTTTCGCTTTTTACATATTCTTGTCATCTAATTTATTGTAACCAAGATTTTAAACGTATGATTACTAGGAAATAAAATTTTTATAATTTATTTTTGGTTATTTCAATAACGTATCATGAATTTCTATCATCTTTAATTAATAAGTTAAACATATTTTTTCATTACATAATTTAAATTCACATGCATTCCTTCATACATAACAAGCTAGATAGTTTTAAATGGCTTTTAAATCACTTTTCATTTTGACGATTATTTATTGATATGTGTATGCAAAATTGCTTGATAACATTTGTTTTATCGAATTAAAAAATAAACTTTTGTGATGGAATGCAAATTAATTTACATTTCAAATGTTTCAAGAAAAGCTTGTAGATATTTCTAGAATTAAGTAGTAGATCACGTAAGGAAAGATTTTCGATCAAAGTTTTAATACATAATTAAATGAGATGTAATTCAAGCTGATAGGATAAATAGTTTTGATGTTTTGAAGTTATGATGGTCTTCTTCACAATGAGTGCATTTCAAAGACAGTACTTTTTGTACACACACATGAAAAAAAGAAACATTTCAACTTTTCAAATATAAGCACTGTTGTTTCGTATTTTGTTTTATTTGGTTCAGTGATTTAAAATACAGACGAAATACTACCTCATTTGTCTGTATAGCATAGCAATGTAAGATAAATAAGTTCTAGTACAAAATGGTATTTGTTGTACAGGGTCCTAAAAATATATTAATATTTTGAGAAGAATTCATTCATGAATATTTTGCCTATCGAAACTTCTGAACAGACAAAATAACAAATAAATATATGTATTTATGATGTCATGTAATGTCATATATGATAAAAAATTATGACAAGAAACTAATATTTTTTAATATTCCAAAAAGGTTTTCTCTTATTTTTCCAAAACGAAAAATAAGAAGAAAACCTTTTTAATGGTTTGTCATGGCAATGAATTTTATCTGATTTGGATTTCTATATTGAAAAATACAATAGCTTTGAACAAAACATTTCAATGAATATCTTAAATATTGGTTGCAAAGAAAATCATATTCACAATGGAAAAAAAAAATTCTCAAAACTAGAAAGAAAAAAAAGTGGAAACTTGAATTAATTTAATCTTAAGTGTAATGTTTTACACATCTTGTTCCAATATTGAAAACGGAAAATAAAGTAATTCAATTGATAAACAGAAATGTTCACACATTTTGAAGAAATTATTAAATGTAATTCTGATGGTCGGATAAATTCCTTTCCTACATCAGCAATATTTATAGTTTCAGTATAAAAATTTTCAGAAATGTATACTTTCAACTGAGAAAAATAATGCATGAAAAAAGTTCTCAGAAAGTTTTTATCACAAGATAATTACTTTGATGATCCTATAACAGTTTTATTTAAAAAAAAGAAAAAACACTATATTAAGTGCGCTCAACACTACCTCTTTCCTCAAATGTTATGGAAACAAATTGTGCCATTTTTGAAAATATGATTTTTTTTTCTAATTAAAGCTGTTTTTAATAATAATATTTTAGTTAAACGTTTGTAGCAAATATATTTCTTCGTTATTTTAATATTTGAAGTATAAGTTAAGGTTAATTTTTTGTATTAGAATAAAGATTACTTTTGTTTATATAAATTAGTGTTGCAAAAACAACAGAGATAGTCAAATAAATGAGACAGAATAAATGTGCAACGGGTTTGATGTCTTAGCACCGCTCAATATAATGTGGTTATCATATAAGATAAGAATGAAATAGTAAATTTAAAAGAAGATTAATTGCATTCTCAACCTAATCGTGATATTTCCTTGCTTTTTGAATTAACATATTTTCTTTTTTTTCTCTCTTAAGTATATAAAACTAAAAGATGTACCATTTTTGTCAGTGAAACCAAGGAATTTGAAATTAGCTTAATTTTAATGCACTGTAGATAATGCTGATCTTAAAGAATCTATTAAAGTCTCTCATAAAAGTAGAAAGAAATATCAAAACTACCTAATGAAATATTTTCTTCGAAGAACTTTTTTTTTATTGATTGAAAAACAATGGCTTATTTAAACCAAAATACTTTAAATGATGAGATATTTTCAGTTATTCTCAACAAAACAATGTTTATAGCGTTTTATTAAATTAAATGCGATTTTTTAATTAAATTAAATATGTTTTTTTTAAACAAAATCAAAGTTTGCTTTTCAATTTTGAATGAAAGCAAAATTGTTAAAAAGCATAAAAAATCAAATTTCCAATTTTAAAAATTTAATGGTCTTAATTTTAAAAATATAAAATAAGAACAAAATGTATTACATAAAAGCAATTTGATATAGGAATATAAAAAAAGCAATTCCAACAGTACATTAATACGCAGTTTTGAATGTATTAAATAATTTAATGTAAACAATTGCTTACCTCCTTAGAAATCAATTTCCTTTTCGTTTTGATGTAATCCAAAGTAATGACATTTATATTTTAAAAAAAGTTGCAAATAATTTTAATTAGAATCAATTAAAGTTAAATTTTAATTTGAAAGATTGAACAAAATAAAAGTTAACAAAAAATCTATATTTGAATTAAAAATAGTTAACTTAAATGAAGCAATTAAAGAAGCTAAAAATTGAAGTTTAGCAGAGAGTGATTCCCACGTTTCTTTCAGAAAAAATATGCCAACAAAAGTAATCCCCTTCGATCCCTATAAAGCTTGCTTCTGTTTTCCTAGAACATCTAGATAATTGCTTGTTTAAGACAACTGTGACTAAGCGACAAATGCATGGTTCTGGAAATATATGATATTTTATGAAAGGGCAAAAAGCCTAGGGTCGTAAAGCCCAGGGCAATTTAAAGAAGTCAAAGGAAGGACATTTTCCCATGGTGTAAAAGGAGATGCCTATATTTTGAGGGGTCAGATAACTGTCTCGGTTGGTGATCTGCAAGTGTTGAGAGTCAAGGAATGCTTTAAAATATATGTCAGTGAAGGATGCATTTTATTACACCAGGGAAGGGTAAAAGAGAGGCAACTATTTTAGTTTCCTAAACACTTGTCTTATTTTTTTATGCTGAGCCCTTCTTTTGGTTAAATTTAAATTTTAAAATTTTTTCTTAATAAATTAGAAATTGTCATATGTGGAAGAAAATTCAAACAAAACCGACGTATTTGTCTAGGTTGGGGGGGGGGAGTTCTACTTTATTTTTTTATTTGAAAAATAGCTTCAAAAGGTGAAAAAAATAGTAGTTTCTTTGTCTGAAATTGCTAATTCTATTTTATAAACAAAAATTACTTTATTGTAGTGAATGTCAATGTTTCAGACGGAATGACGCTCATCAATTAAATTTACGAGGAAAATAAAGTTTGCTACTTGAAAAATAGCTTAAAAGTTGAAAAAAATGAGTTAAATAATAATTTTACTTTATTTACGTGAATGTCTGAATTACAGAAGAAGCAAAGTACTTTCTTAGATCCCTCGTTTTTATTTAAGAGGAAAATAAAATTTTCTACTTGGAAAATATCTTTAAATTTGCTTTTCCTTAAAAAAAAATTTAAGCAGATTTCTCTTCTTTATTTGGAGGAAAATTAAGTTTTCTATTTGGAAAATAACTTAAATGTTGAAAAAAATAGCTTTTTTCTTTTTCTGAATGTATTAATTCTGCTAGAACTTACTTTTGAGAATGTCTAAATTTCAGAAGGGGTGAAGCACTTCTTTACAATTTTGAAACAAAATAAAGTTTTCTACCCTCAAAAAATAAAGATATTTTCCCACTTTCACTTTACTCTCCCAAATTTCAAAAGGCACCTTATTTGCCCATTCAAGTTAATTTCAGAACAACATAAAGTTTCTTATTAGGGGTATAGCTTCAAAAATGAATTTTCCGTTCCTCTTTTCTGTGAAGCGTTTTTGCTCTTTTGAGGAAGATAAATAATTCTCGGAAAGAGTCGTTCACCCTATGTTAAAGTCGATTGTAACTACGAAAAAGAAGAATTTAGCAAATCTTCACACAATCTCTTTCATATATATATATATATATAGTTAAACTATTTTGAAGAAATGTCGCGTGGTCCCTTCATATGGGGCCCCCTTGACCATCGGGGCCCCGGCGTAGTTACGGCCCTGGACAAAAGTGAAAAAAAGCGGAAAAATCTCATCCCTGTTTTATTCAAACACTTAAAGTAAGTATTAAAGGCATTTATTTTTAACATATGATTAACTCTCTTAGATAACACTAGAAAGAAAAATAAAACAACTAACCTCTTTATTGATTCCCCATTTCACTTCAAATCCACTGATTAAAAAATCACAGTTATTTGTATAAATAAATTTCATAGCGTGCTCAAAAGCTTCAGCTTTTGTATTTTCTAGTTGCATTATGCCATTTACACAAGCCTCTTTATTGAACTGTTTCTTGAAATATTCAGAGCGGGAAGCTAAGATATACTTATGAGCAGCAAATTCTCTTTTATCTACCTGAAAATTAAAACAGAATTAGGAGGAAATCAAACCATTAAAATTGTAATCACTTTTTTCCCTGCAAATAAATTAAATAAAAATCATTAAAAGTGAGTTCTGGAACTTTTGCAAGGGTGATTGTGAGCCCAACTCAAAAATCCTGAAAATTTCTTGAGTAAAATCATTAATGACGCATTTCAAAAAATTTATGTCTCTATAAATTTAAATCATTGATATTTTCACAACATGAAATTCTAAATAAATTATATGCAGCATAATTTAACTGAATAATTACGTATAAGTTTACTTTCATCTCTAATCACATTTATTGTTCTACCAAAAAAATATTTACAATTACTGCTAAATATAAATTCCAGTTCCAATATTTTTAAATAAAATATACAAGAATTTTTATACATAAATGAGATAGATGATTTCTTGAAACTTCTCAAACTTGGATTCTAGGAAATTTTCGAACCTCAGTTGGCAAAAAATCCAGGAATCCGGATTTATTTCGCAGCACAATCATCTCTGCTTTTGACACAAAATACTTAGGTTTTATTTATTATCATAGTTGGCCAGACAGCCCAATGTGGGTCAATGCCTTCCTCTGAAGATTTCTCCATAAAGACTTCCGATTTATCTTTGATCTCCAATTCTTTTCATTAATTGCAAGAAAATCAGACTCCACAGAATCAACCCATCTCAACTGTGGCCTCCCCTGCTTTCTCGTTCCAGTAGGTCTAAAAAGCAATATCTTTTTTACTGTATTCACATCAATCATTCAAATCACATCGGTCATCCAATTCATTCTATTTATTTTTATGTATTTAATAATATCAGGTTGTTCTTGTAATCTTGTACAGTTCAAAGTTAAATCTTATTCTCCAGTTATTGCTTTCACATTCACACCACCATGTATACTCCGCAAAATCTTTCTCTCAAACATTGCGATACAATATTCCACCAGTTTTGCAGTTTTGTCATTGTCCAAGCTTCAGAAGGTGTATGTCAAGACCGGCCTGACAAGAGTTTTGTAAATTAAGATTATGATTTGTAAATTAAATTTTTTCTAGAAAGAAACCTAGATTTAATAAAACTTCTCGGCCTATTTGTCAGATAGAGTAGGTTTTTTATTTCAGGAGACATTCTGTTATCAATAGTAATAATTGATTCTAAGTAAGTAAAACTCCTTACTGTTTCAAATCTATTTCAAGATAGGGGTCTGGGACTCTGTTTCTTGAGAATAACATATCGGTTATATTCATTAACATAAATTAAACTAATTATGGGAAATCAATTTTTTGCTAGCTTAACTAAATAGATTATGTACCCCTAGCCCTTTGGTGTAAGCCACACCTTTAGTAACAGAGCTAGAGTGCTAACATACATGGTTCTTTGTGTGTTATACATGGTTCTTTGCTTACATATGTATGGTATTTGTTATATGTATGGATAAAATCTGAGATAAAACTTAATTCTTAAAAAAAACAACTTTATACTGATAAACGTTGAAAAAAACTTAAGTAAAAATGCCAGATCTGTTTATATTAGTGTGGTAATAAAATAAATACTTTAGAGACAATATAATACATAGTTTTTTAAGTACAAAAAAAAACTTTTGTTTTTAATAGTTTTCTAACAATTTCAAATACTATGACATCGATAATGATTTAAAAATTATAAAAATATATTTTAAAGGTAGGCAAAAAAAAAAAAAATTGAAAGGTGCAAAATATTATTTTAGTCACATCATCGACAATCAGCTGCATAACCTTATTCCAGTTATACAGCAGACTGAATATATTCATTATAACAATATATTCAGTGCATAACATTTACTGTGCACAATACCTTCACAATGATGTCATGGAATTCATCTTGAACATGAGTTTCTGATAAAAGTCTCGCAAAATCTTGAAGCATTCTGGAATTTGAAAGCCACGGTACTTCAATTAACCTAAAAAAATAAAATTAAAAAAAAGTATTACTGGTTACATAAATATTTTCAAGATTTAACACATATACCTCAAATTATACAAATGTAATAAAACCATTTATAATTATAGATAATATAATTTTTTTAAAAATATTTCCTTAAACATTAAATTTTAACATCACATTTTTAAAAATGCTTGAAATTTATAAAAACATTTAAATTATAATTTGTTGATAAAATTTTAGAAAAATAAATTATTTGATTTTTTAATATTAAAAATAAAAACTCAATCGTTTGATCTTTCTACACCAACAATATTTTTCTACAACAAACAGTGAAAACAAAAAATCTTTTATAATAAACACTTTGAAACAGTGATAGAAAATTATTATTATATTGAGCTAGTTTAACAAAAGTATCTTTTACTTAAATAACATTATAAATTAAATAGCATAAACTATGCAAACATATGATTTTGAAAAGGAACAAAAACATTAACTTGCTTTCATTTAATGCACAATAAACAACCCCTTTTATCTAAATGAAAATGGAGATCGCAACTTACGATTGTTATATTGTGAGTGCTAAAATGGCAAAAATGTTTACCTATAATTATATACTAGACCACCTAAAATAAAAATCTAGGGATTTGTTTTTCTGTTCATTCAACAGGAATTCAAGATATTTTACGTATACTATCTGATAACATCAAAATTTTTTTTTGGTATAAATAACTATGAAATCTGTGGCTAAATTAAATGCTTCCTTGCAAAATGATTCTTTAAATGATTCATTGTTAATTTTGTTTCGAAAACAAAATAAAAATTCAGAAACTTTTTTTCAAAATATTGACAACTTAAGCTAAATTTTAGTTGAATGAATGGTTTAGTGCGAATGCTTTAATGGGCACTAAAATGAAATTGCATCTTTGGAGTAGAGAATGGAACTTTATGTATGGGTCGTTTTAATGGAAGGGTTGCTGTAGTGGGTGTGAATACTAAGGAATGTAGACTGTACTGACAGTATAATTTCAAAAGATATTAAGAAAAATGACTGATATAAAACACTTTCTTACAGTTGTAATTTTAATAAATGTAGGAAAATTATCATTGCAATTCGAATTGTCTGCAGAGTTTTTCTGAATAACTAATTTTCATCTGAAATCACCATATTCAAACAAATAATACACCATATAAAACCAACATTTGCAACACATAACATGGGTATATAAGATACAAATTATGATATACAGTACAAGAATTATGAGGTACATTATAAGATACAAGTTATGAGAAAATATATTGCATTTAAAACTAAATACCCCATTTTTGGATTGGATTGCAAAACAGCAAAATTTCTTCCCTTAGAGTCACTAGTTATGGATGTTGCTCGATAAATGTTAGGTAATTTCTTGGGTTTGATAAAGTGACAGTCATCAGTGTCAAGCAGAATGACCAATCCTGAAGAAGCTCGGTTAGAGAAATTAGAAGGAGGGTGTAAAGTTGAAGGTGGGGGAGCGGCTCTTTTCCCCTTAAATGGTACTATTTGTCCTAAATAACCTTCATTTTTTGTAGAAATAAGGCCAACAGAATAGTGGTTTATATGAATATCAGAAACTAAAATTTCTTTTTGAGAAGTAAATATGCATCTTCTTAAATAGGGATCACTTTGTCGCCAAAGATAAACCTAGGAAAAAAACAATAAGCAATATTAGTATTAATTTAAAGCTGAAAATATTTAAACATGTTAAATATCATAAATGAAGTTTTTTAATTTTTGTTTTGTTACTGCCAACGCCTTTTTAAGCATGGTTGGCATGATTTAAATCATGATTTTAAACTACTTGATGTTCGTAAATAAACCATTGATACAAGTCAAAAATTTTTCTCATATAGTACAACTTATTAATACCTTTATGCCAATATTTCTGAAATGTCGAACTGCTATCTATCCATGCTTCATCAATGTAGACCATTTGACAGAGCATTCTTTGACGTTTTTGCATTTTCAAAGAAATTTGCTCAGCCAAAATATCTAATATTGTTATACATGGTTTTTCAATTAATATTTCTCTTTTATAAGCACACTTCTTAAACTGAAAGTTGAATGTAGAATATTTCTTAGATTTTATTTTCCACAATTTAATTTCTCCTTTAACCTTTTCCCATCAAATTCTCTTTTTCCCTGGAGCACAAGAATCAATTTTAGAATGGAAGAGACATTCTTCTCTTTAAGGTAGAAATCATGAATTGTTTGGTGTCATTCGTTTCTCCATTTCTGGATGATTCTTCTTTCCTAAAAAGGGTACAGAGAATGTCACCTTCTCCTAAATAGGAGATTTATCTTATAATATTTTTTTGAGCATAGTTCAACAGACCAGATGCGATGGAGGCTCGTCTTAAAGATAGTTGTTTCCACAGAAAAATATTTTTTCCCCAACTACAGTGCAAATTTTTCTAGTTTGCGAGTTTAATGTCTCACCTTTCTTGAAAAGGAAAAGCATCACAATTAAAACAAACAAGATAAAATTAACAACAATTAAAACGAACAAACAAAAATTAAAAAAAAATTAATGATTAAACAATTAAAACAACAAGAAACAATTTTTAAAAAAATGAAAGCTGTTTTTAAGATAATGAGAAACAAGAGAGTAAAAGAAAGATGAGTTTCTAACAGTGCCACTAATGCAGTCAAACTTGGATAATTTGAAGGGCAAGGGGCCTCTGTGAAACTTCAAATTATCCAAACTTCGAATTATCCAAACAATGTTATTTTTATGTCTTAAAATAATTACTCGTAACAGACATTGCGAGACAAAGATTGTTTATTAATTTTAAATTAAAACGTTAAAAGTTTTAAAAATATTTAGCTATATCAGATTGCTTTAAAGAGCTTGCTTGATTTTTTCTAACAAAATCTTCAAGAATATTTATAGCTCTAAACACAGCTTCACTTACGTCAGATTGTCCTTCTGCATAGCGTCGATATTCTGATGAATGAACGACTGCCTCACTTGAAGTTGGAATTGGCCTCTGTTCTTCTACCTCATCTTCAATATCTCCTTCGTATTCTGTTGTAATATTCTTATTGTTTAGAACTTCAGATAGAATATCTGTATCCGATAACTCTCCACAAATGTCTATATTTTCATCCATACTGACGTAATCATTGAACAGAATGTTGTCTTCCCATGCAACTGGGGGAGGTAAATTTTCTTCATTGAAAAGATCGCTAGGGACAGTGTTCCTGATGAATCCTGCCTTCCGAAAACAATTTGCTATTGTTTTTTGGCAGACTTTGGACCATGCATTTAAACACATTCTTGAAGCATCGAGGAGAGTAATGGGAAGCTTTTGAGAAGATTCAGTAAGGAGGTGTTGAACGACTAGACATCTGTAAAAATGCTTCAGATTTTTAACGATGCCTTGATCCATTGGTTGCACCACTGATGTCATGTTTGGCGGGAAAAAAAACAACCGTGATATTTTCCATAGTGGGTATCGATTTATGAGCAGTGCAGTTATCAATAAACAGGATGATTATTCTGTTTTTTCTTTGGTATGTGCGATTTAGATCAAGTAGCCATTCTTCAAAAATATGCGCCGTTATCCATGCTTTTGTGTTAGAATGGTATTCTATAGGCTTTGATTTGACATTTTTAAAACACCGTGGACTTTGTGATTTTCCAATCATCAGTAATGGTAATTTCTCAGTGCCATCCATGTTTGATCCAGCAAGTAAGGTGATTCTATCTTTACTATGTTTTCCACCACTACATTTTTCACCTTTAAAAGTAAGAGTCTTTGCAGGGGTACATTTGAAAAAAAGTCCTGTCTCATCGACATTAAAAATGTCTCTGTCCTGTGTATACTCAATAATTTCGGCAACTTTTTCCCCCCACTCATTTGCTGCACCTTGGTTCACACTTGAGCTTTCACCACACACAGACTTGAAAGACTTGCTTTTCTTTCCTTAAAACCATCTAACCATTCGGAGCTTGCTTTGAAGCTGCTGTTACCTAAGCTGATAGCAAATTCTTCAGCTTTTGCACGAACAAGAGTTCCACTGAGAGGGATGTTCTTGTCCCGTGCTTGTTTAAACCACTTTGAAACACACTCGTCCACATCAGGATAATCAGGCTTTCTAGCTCGCTTGCGATTTCCATTAGATTTCAAAATTCTTTATTCTTCAAAGAAGTCGAAAGAGTGTTAGGCGCTATTCCAAACTCTTTTGCGATGATGCATTTTTTTAACACCCTTTTCTACTTCTCGAGTTACAGCAATTTTTTCATCGAAAGATAAGGTTTTATACGGGACACGGAGCTTACTAAATGACATGCTGGTACTGAACTATCACTACAAAACTAATATCACAATGTAGAAAACTCAAGTAATATCGACTACAGCCCTAGTGTTTAATGCCATGATTATACACCAGTTTCCCGGAGTCGGATGCAAGGTGATCTCATGAAAAAAATAAACGCACCACTATTGGAGGAACACCTGTCAATCAACTGTCCGATGACCATTGAAGGACGACTCACGTAGACATAACTTTTTTCAAGATCATGAAGACTCGCCTAGCCGGTGACAATTTTTTTCTCCTCCGCTCCGACCAATGCATCCTATCACGTGATTGGAAATACCCTTCCCGTCGTCCTTTCTCCCTCCCCCTTGTCATATCTAAAAAAAATTCCATAATAGCTGAAAATAACCAGAATACTTCTCAAAAATAACTGCATTTAAACTAGATTCTGTCATTTTTGAAAGGGTAAAAACTTTGAATTAAAGAAGTTGGATTTCGAAATAACCAAGATTTTTTAGCATTAACTGAATATACACGCGTCTAGGGAAGTAGAAAAGCTTCAAATTATACACGAATTCGAATTAAAGATGTTCGAATTATCCAAGTTTGACTGTACTAGGAGAACAAAGATTAACATGCTGATTTGTGCCAAGCCTAGATCAAGACAAACATCCACAGCACAACTTTATTTGAAGTTTTTTTTTTTTTTAAAAAATAACGCCTGCCATCGTCTTCTCAGACATAAGGCGTCTTGCAGTCCAATACAATACTGAAGTAGCTCCAGAAGGTGAGAGGGCACAAAAGTCATTAGAGGAACGAATGTCAAGAAGAGAGGGGCAATCAAATAAATGCTCCCCAGTCATAGGCGAAGTGTTACAGAGCACACAAAGAGGTGAATTGACCAAGTTAATTTTAAATAAATGGGCCTGCAAGTAGTCATGTCCAGTAATTAATCTAAGGCAAGCAACTCCCTCAGCTCTGGGAAGGAGGGAAAGGTGAGAGCGCTGCTGGTCATCAAGAAGGCTAGCCCAGGATTTTCCATCAGCTAAGTCCCTAAGAGCAGATATTGTTCTGTGCCTGCATTTGCTCTTAAGAAGCCGCCTTGCATTTTTAAGGGGAACTGGATGAGAAAATGGATGCAGTGCTGAAGCCTCTCTAGCCAACATGTCAGCCCGTTCATTTCCGTAAATGCCACAGGGGCCAGGGATCCACTGGTGGACTACCTCTCTTCCAGAACAAAGAAGAGAGTCAATGCGTTGTTTACACTTAAATTCGAGTTCAGACGGATATAAATTATAATCAGAAATGGTCTGAATAGCAGCCTGAGAATCGACAAAGATAACAATGTTTTGTTCAGATGGTACTTTATTTGAAGTGACTTCCTAACCATAGCCTCGCCACAATACGATACGGCTGTTTCTCCCAAAAGCCGCGCAATAAAGTAGCAGTTTAAATAACAATAACATTCACCACAAAAGGAATCTTATAAGCAAAAATACATAAAAGATTTGCATTGTTTATGCATCATTCTTTTTTATCTTTTAAGTTCTGGTGGTTAAAATTATGAAGTACAACAAAGTTTCAATAACTAGTACAAGAAAATTCGCAAAAAATTGTAAAAAAAAACAAACAAACAAAAAACATATTAAATGCTTACTTTTTGATCAAACATATTTATTAATTTTATCAGAGTTACTAAAAATAAAACAAGTATCGCAACACATAGTGAGGATAAAAAAAATTTTTATATCAAGTTTTTTGTTACTTTTCCTGAATTCGCAAGTAGCAGCACTTTTAGTTCTAAGCCTCCTCCTTCTCTTACGCCTGCAGCATCAACTCGTGAATCCAAATGGCCACCCACAACAGACAATTTCTGGATGTCCAATTGCCTAAATTTAACAGATTATCCAGTTTAAATGATTATATTTCTCAATCAAACTTAGTTAATAAGGTTTTCAAACAAAAATGTCCAAAGTTTTAAAAATATTTAAAATGTTGAGAGAAAAAGTTAAACAAATGCTCTTTGCAAAAAAGTAATATACTTTGCTAAATAGAAGGACATAACACTCCAGATGTGCACAAGGAAAATAAATTGCATAACAACAAAGATTACAACATTTATAATTTTTTTTAGAAATCTTAAGTTTAAGTAACTAAAAGCATTGGGGAAATAGGACATGTTGAATTTTTGTATGATTAAAATTAATACGCTATAACATATAATCCCTAAAAATAAAAACTATTTACAGAGTAGCCTACTTTGTATAAATATTTATTATTTGAATTAATGAGAGCTTAATTATTTATAAATTGTTCAAAAATAGAACTTTAACATTTACCTTGATGCTATTTTTCGTATCTGGTACTCATGGAGAACATAAATTTCACCACGGTTAGTTGCACAAACAGTAGCTCCATCACTCACTTCAACATGAGTTATCTTGCAGTTCTCAGAATATAAACCAGATACCTGTCTGGGATGAATTTGAGTACGGTCTCCCTTTGCATGGCCTGTGTACATAACATATACAGATGATAATTCAATAGTAAAAGATGATGAGAAACTATTTTTACTAAAAATCAAAGCTTTTCCTTATTAATATGAATATGAATTAATATACAACAGTATGAATATGAATAAATATGAATTAATATACAACAGTTTAACCTCGCCATAGTAAGCACTCAGTTGTAGTTACGATTTTAGTGGTCATATCCAAACTTTTATTTAACTAATATGATTTCATAAGCTTATAGAGCTCAGATAAGAAATCGGCAGTTTGTTTAAAGGGGACTTAAATTTTCTTTATGCAGATATTTAAATAAATGTTACAAAGCTTTTAGTTTAAGTCATAAGTTTAAAAGTATATAATTATGACTTTAAATTAAAAATTGAAGTTAATCACATTATAACAAAACGCTTAAATGAGTCATTTTGCTGGAATGAAATATGAGAGAGATATTTCAAAATCAGGCACATGGGAGAGTAAATTAGGGTGTGTAGTCAGATTTTGCAACAAAAAGTAAGCACCTCTTAAGCATTGAAAAATACTTTAAAGCACTTTTTTTGACATAAAAAAACTATAATTAAGTTATATGTTATTAAAGGTATGTGTATTCTATTGTTTTAATCTTTTATACACACTTTACCCTACAATAATTGATGAGACACTAAGTTTTTGATATTTTTTTAAATTTTATAAAAAACACCTAGAGAGTCATTTTATAACTTTAAAGGTGTTTAGATCACGCAATTTCTCATACTTGTTAACAAAGTTTAAAGAGGTTTGATTGACTAGCAATAAATTATAAGGGAAAAAATGAAAATAGTCTAAGCTAAAACTTTATATGAAAAAAGATTTAGCATAAAAAAACTAGAAATATTTCTCTAATTACTATATTCCAAACATAATAAAATAAACAAAACATAGATAAAGCACAATTTGAATTTAATTAATAAAGAATAGAAATTCATACACAGAATAACATAGATAATTTCTAGCATGCAATAAACTTGCTCAAACAACAAAATTATAGTTTCATATTTTTGAAACAAGTTTCATCTTATATAACAATAAATAAAGTTATCAAAAACATGTGACATAGAAAATTATAAAAAATGAACAGATTTATAGAGAGAACAGAAAAGGTAATAATTAATAATGAAATAATATATGAAAATACCCAGTTGTCCAGCATTTAGTCCAAAAGTATAGACACTGTCAAGAGTATAAATAACTGAATGAAATCTAGCAGCCTTGACTCCTATAACTTTATTTCCTTTCAAAAATTTCAGCGATATTGGCTTTGGACTTAAAACTTTGTCAGTAGGAGGAATATGGCCAAGAACATGATAAACATTATGTCCACAACTCCAAACCTTTTTTTACATTAAAAAAACATTAGTAATCGTAAAATTAGATAGAAATTATAATTATAAATTTCTTTTTCAAACAAAACAGTATTTATTTAATGACCACTGAATATACAATTTCTTTGAGTAGAGCTTCAGTTTTAAAATTAACGTTCTTATTTTTTTAATCCATTAACCCACTGGCGGTTAAGGAAATGGGCAAAATTGGGAGAATGTTTCTCCCCTACACACAGTTCCCCTATCAGTTAACATGGGAAAACCGGTTTTGCTATGCAGAGAAGACTGCAGGTTAAAATGCGACTTTTTACGTGCAGAACCGTCAGTGGGTTAAAGAGCAATTTTTTTCAAATGATGTTATGTTAAAATACTTGTGGGATTGAGATTAATCTATAAAACGAAATTTACTTAGCTTACTACCAAATTAATTTGATTTTAAGTAAAGATGCAATGATTAATGATTAGGCAGAATAGTTAAATATTGAATATTTGGCTGAGAAATCATTCGAATATCAACATTTTTAAAATAATATTTAATAAATATTTTTTATACATAAATAAATTAAGTCATTACTGAAAAAAAATCAAAACTTAGTTCTATGAATGGTAAGTTTAAAAAATTCCATATTCCTTTTATATTTATAATACAGTACAATATCCGGTATCTATGTAGGTTCGGAAAATAGATCGTCAAACAAAGATCAAAACTAACTTCATTCAATAAAAAGTAACATTAATATTTAATTCAGTACTGTTTAATTTTTATTTAATCAACTTAAAAATATTCACAAGAGATGGTAAAGGACAAAATAAACAGACGATAATCGGAAAAGAACCTGATAATAATTAAAGCAATCATAATTAAAAATAAATAACTTGAAAAATAATGTAAAACATTTCATAAACTAAATAAGAAGGTTGGAGATAAAAATTCCATGATTGCTAAGTCTTAATTTAACACCCATCATAGCAATCCAGAGTGAAAAACTATGATTGAGTCTGATTATCTTAGTAGCATTTTGCAAGATTTGTTGAAGGGACGGACAATATATGTCAAATGAAATTCTAGTCAGAATTAGAGATGGCTAATATTTTCTGGAACAGGTATTTGTCACCTGTTATTTAATCGTACCTGTTATAAAAATAACAGGTTACTTCCAAAGGCCTGTTCCAAAATACTAGGCAAACAATTATCTTGCCAAAAATTTATTGCTTGGCCACCGTAAGCTCATATATATTGTAAAAATGAAGAATGGCAATAGCGGTTATGTTTTAGTTTCAGTTTCGATTTTGTGATGTAAAGATTATTATTTTGCAGAATAATACGATATGTGCGTGAGTGTAGTAAGTTACGAGTGTACTTATATTATCAATAAATATTGTTTTTGTTTTCTATGAAGATTTTATTAATGTTTATTCAGCAACATTCGAAGCCAACACACGCTATATCGAAACAGCCTGTTATTTTATCACAGGCTAGTATTTTGGAACAGGCGATATTTTGTCACAGCTAGTATTTCGGAACAGGCAGTATTTTGTCACAGGCTAGTATTTTGGAACAGGCGATATTTTTTCACAGCCTAGTATTTTGGAACAGCCGATATTTTGGAACAGGCTAGTATTTTGGAACAGGCGATATTTTGTCACAGGCTAGTATTTTGGAACAGGCAGTATTTTGTCACAGCCTAGTATTTTGGAACAGATGGTATTTTTTCACAGGCTAGTATTTTGAAACATATGGTATTTTGTCACAGGCTAGTATTTTGGAACAGGTGAAGCAGGTTAGTATTTTTGAACAAATTTGTATTCAGGAATAGGCAAGAATTTTGTGATAGCTTTGCCTACTATTTTGCAGGTTAAGTTTATTTGTAGGAATGTTGGGTAAGCGATGACCAGTCCCCCTGCCCTTTTGATGCTCGGGCAAGGGGGAGGGGTGCTTATAATTGCATTTTCCTTCTTTTAATTTTTTTTTCTGTGATGCAAAAAGTAGAAGCATTTGAATATTTTTTCTAATTTTTTTGATATTGATACATATTTCCTACATGTAAAATAGAAAAAAATTTCTTACAAAATACGAGTCTTATTGTCTCATTTTTTCTGTCCTTAGTCTTACTCTCTCTCTTTCACCTTTTTTTTTCTTTTTTTAGGGCAATAAATATTTTAACTTTTTATTTCCTTATTAGAAGGATGTGTTAAAATTGTTAAAACTATATTTAGCATGCGAATTCAAGCTATATTTAAACACTTTATTTTCTTTGTAGGCAAACTATATTATCAAACACTATATTTTTTCTCCCTATCTTTATCCTTTTTTACATCTTCTACTTTAAAATGCTGAACTTATGACGAAGCATGAAGGGTAGTTAAATAGTACTCAGAAGATAAAGGGTAGTAGAATATATGTAAATATTTAAGCAAAATATTTTATGAATGTGATTTAATAATGAAGCTTAGTTATAAAGTTTTAGGGGTGATTAAATTTATATATTTTATACATTTAATGAAAAATTCAAAATATGTTGTTTGAAATAGTACTATTTCAAACAACACTAGTGAGTTGCTCACTATAAAGTAACTACGGCCTACATTTACTTAAAAATGCTCCAATCTTTTTGTCTCTTTTTTCCGCCTACTGTATTTACTGCACTAATTACAATTGTCTTCTGGGGGACATCTAATCAAGTAGTTTACTTTGAGAATCCGGACAACTCTTTACGCCATTGGTCCCCTAACTTTCGGACCATCTCCCTAGCTTTCGCTGCTATCGGCGGCTTTCTTTTCGAGGTCGAGATCGACCGTGACCTTCGAGGTTACGAATTGACTCTATCAATATTTTTACATGAAGGCGTGTCCTTTATTTCCCTCGTAGTTATTTGTTGTAATAATTCAATCAATGTTCTATGTGAAGAGTGATTTGAAATTGCGTTGAATTTCGTCCACTCGCATAGAAATAGATGTCCCTCTGGCATTGCCTATTATTTTGTTGCGTAAAAGATTTATTTACTTTGAATATTTGAAGAAAATAAATAATATACTATTTTTAAATGATAATATTCTGCAGGAAAGGGAAAAATCTATTACAGTTAATTTGGCGTATTTATTTTTTTTCTTCCTGTTTTGAATTTTCTTTTGACATTAAAATTACCATTAAGGCTACATAGTATGTGATATTTTGATATTAATGTGCTGATTGTTTTGAAAGAAAAATATTATTTAAATAATCCAAGAAAAGTTAAGAATTGTTAAAACGACTTGTTTCTTTAAAAATTATGCTAAATTCGCATGCAGTTAGATTATTTTTAGGTATTAGGTTATATTTAATTTCATTTTTGTCAAATTTAAAATTCTAGAAGACAACTAAGCCCTATTTCTTTTCTTTATATAAAATGAAAAAATGCTGTCTATTTTGTCACAGATACAGAATATAATGTGCTATTCTTAAATTGTTTTTATTAAAAAATAATAATACACTATGTTGTATTTTAAGTTCAGAAATAAATTTTTTTTTAAATTTCTAATTTAGCTCAATATTAATGAAGTTCCATTTTTTTTTCCTCTGGTAGAAATGAAAAGATTCTGGTTATATCGTCAAACAGAATGTAATAGGGAACTCCTATATCCTTTTTATTTAGAAACAAGTAATAAATCTTTTCTCGGAGCCTAAACAATCGAGAATAAAAGAGAAATTTATGTGTAACTGCTTTTTTTTTGTTTAAAAAATAACTAGAAAAAACTTCACGATACTCTTAGAAAAAAAAATGTATTTTCTAATTTTGTCAAATTAATAGAAAAATATGTATCTGCTACAAAAATACTTGCCAGTCTAAACTATATTTCTGGCTGCTGTCAGTATGCCGGTGGGTGACCACTTGGATCAGTGTGCGTAGGGACCGAGGATGTGCGGTATTGGTCCTCATTAAACTGTTCTACCGTAAAGTGCTCGACTTCGCGTGCAGGTCGTCGGGCTACCGAAGCAGGGGTGCTATCCCCTCTGCAGAGGATCAAAATTGTAATGCCTTGTCTTCGGATCATTTTCAAGGATGTTTCTCAGACCATCGCCAATAGCCCATTGTGCAGCTCTAGTACAGCGTAAATTAACTACTGCAACAACAATTAAATTATCTTTCAAATGTAAAAAAGTTGGAAATTTTTTTCCTTAGACCTGTTATTTTGGAACAGGTATTTGGAACAGGTATTATTTTGTATGGTAACAGCTGGAACCTGTTATTTGAAAATACCTGTTATTGCCCATCACTAGTCAGAATACACAAATGAAACAGAAAAAATAAAAATCAATCTGAAACTTCAGAAATTTTTTTTAAGGCTAAACATCTCAGTTTTTCACTCATGAATAAATTTTTACTGTAACCCACATTTGTGAAAACAAAGTTCTTCATTCATTTTGGTGGGAAAATAGATTCTCATTGACATTTCAAATTTAATGAAGGATTATTACACTTCTCATAACCTTATAAAGCAGTGTTCCCCAACCCCCGGTCCGTGGATCAAATGGTACCGGGCCGCACATTTCATTGAAACTGAATTTAAATTCCTAGGTTTATACCAAAAATTAAAAATATCTGTGTTCCATTATTTTATTTATTTAAAAAAAAGGGCTCCCGAAGGTAGTGGCATAAATTTTTTAACGTTTTAAAACGATTACCCTCAGATGGAAAAATCTCATTGCAAAGAAACAAGCTCAGGGTTCCCATTAATTTATTGTTCTAGTAAATTAAAATGTTAAATCACTTTATATTTATTTTTTGGTTTAACTGTATTTTATTTTGAAGGCATGTTTAAATACAATTAATAAATCAAAATAATCTAAAATATAAACAATTAACGTCCCCACCCCCTCCTACGGGCCGCGGTAAAATTATCAAACGTTGACAGGTCCGCAGTGATAAAAAGGTTGGGGAACACTGTTATAAAGGGTTAAAATACATTAAACTAAAATGTGGAATAAATATAGCAAAATCTGATACCTGTCCATTTTCTAGTAATAAAATCAAATGATCTTGTCCAGTAGCTACTTGAACACAAGAATGAGACCCTAACCCTTTGACAGGTGATGGTACTAAGGATATATCTTCAGTTTCTTGTCCTAATCGACCACCATGGCCATATCCACAGGTATACACTTTACCATTTGTTGATAAGAAAGCACTGTGAAATTTGCATATTTGAACCTATGTTAGAAAAAGAAACATATTTTAGGAAATGTTCTTTTTTTTACTGAGATATATTATACAGTTTTTTTTTTTGATTATACAACATTAGTTTATTATACAACATTATTAAGGGCCATTTTAATTTAGCTTCCTTCAGAAACTTTGATTATTTCAGAAAGTAAATATTTGTTAAGATATGTTTACTTTTTAATATTTTTCTATGCCATCACAAATATTGTTATAAATTATGTTTAACATCAGAAGCATTCTTTGTATAATTAACTATTTATAATGACAACACACACAATACAAATTTAAATTAAAAGCAAAAATGTTGACTTTTACATTTCAAAATTTAATATTTACTAATATTGTTTTTATCATTTGCATTTTTTTTTAAATTTTTCATAGCAGTATTCATGCTAAGTTTAAAACAATTAAGTTGATTTTTTTTGACAAAATAAATCGAACCAAAGATAATAAAAAGGTAAAATTTTTAACACCTTTTTGACAAAATAAAATGAACCAAAGATAATAAAAAGGTACAATTTTTAATACTTGTGCAAAGATAAAATTAATAAAGATATTTAGATTGAAAAAAAAAGGGCTGAGTTAAAATTCAAATGAAAAACAAGAAACACACAAATTCCATTGTATGTACAAACTATAAATATAACAACAATATTTGGAGCTGTTTTGTGCAGTTTTATGCTCTTTAAAATATGAATCTACTGTTAGGAATAGACATAAATCATGCTTTTTGAATAATTGTATGAATATGTAAGTGAAAGTAAAATATTAAAAAAAAAAAAACTTGTATTAAACACAAAATATATAATTTAAGATCTTACTAAACAAACCAGTTTTTTGACAATGAAATTAAATTTTGAAATAAAATAGATCATACTGCACAAACCTGCTTTATGTCAATGAAATCTTTGCGAAAAACTTCTAAAATTTCAGGAGCAACTCTATTTTGAGAATTACCTAAACCTAGGTTGTAGTTAAAATTTAAGCCCCAAGCATAAACATCAGATGGATCTAAAAAAACATAAGAAACTGATTTACTGAAGAAAAAAAATAAACCTCAGAAATTTGCACAAAATACAAAGGTTTGTAATTTAATGTAACAAAAAATAATTAATAAAAAAATTCACAGATGTATATTGTATTTGAAGAATACACATTACAGTCAATGCTTGTCGTTAATTTGGGAATTTGCTAATTTTATGAACTGGTTCTTTGGGCCCAAACATTATAACTCAGAACTTATGTTAAAATTTGCAGTTCATATAATTTTATCAATTTTGTAAACCTAAATTTCTTTTAGAATTGTTTGAGAGAAATAATAATAGTAAAAAATAAATAAATTAATTAAGCTTTTTCCCAGTCAGCAATGCCTGGTTACATGGAAGTGAAATTTTTGTAATAATTTGAACTAGAAACAAATCACACTTAATGAGTAAAAAAACTAAACTCATATTTTCATGAACTTGCCGACTGGGCTCAAACATTATAATACAGAACTTAAATTAAAATTTGCAATTTATACAAAACTATCAACTTTGTAAACATAAATAACTCTAATAGGTGTTTGCAAAAAAATAATAACAAAAAATATGTGAAGCTATTTCTTAGTCAGGTATGCCCGGTCACAAGATAATGAAATTTTTGTCTCACTTTGACCAAAAAGCAAATCACTTAAAAAGTTATACAGTAATCTCTTAAATAAAGATTACCCAGACTGCAGCTATTTTTAGAGTCCAGAATATGCCAAAAGAGGTTTGTTTGTTGAAAGAAAATACATTTTTATTTATAATTTTGTATCTTAATCATCTGTACAATATAATCGGCTAATCTTACCCCATAAAACTATGGAGATGGCATCTTAATAAGTAAAAGACCTGATAACAAGGTTGAATGTTATTCAGTGAGCAATATTTTTTTTATTGCATCATGAATGATTATCCCATTTTCTACATTATACACTAGTGTTATTTATTTGTAAACAACCATCTAAACATTTTTTTGTACAATTTGTAACATATTAAGTCATCTGTACAATTTAATCAGCATATTTTAATGCGGTCCAAACCCCTGAAACAGTGGAGACTGCACCTTAATAAGTAATAATCTGTTAACTGGGTAGAAAGTAATGCAATATATATTATTTTTTATTGCATATTTCTAGTGCACCATAAATGGCACAAGCATTTTGTGCACGAATGATAAACTAGTAGATTATGGTACCATAATTTACAAATATTTAAACATTTTTATGCATAACTTTGTAACTTAATAAATTATGTGTACTATTTAATTGGCCTATAATAATTAGAACACCTAAAATAATGGCAACTGAATCTTAATAAATAAAAATCTTATCACTAGGTCGAAAGTTATTCAATGAGTTACATTCTTTTAATGGCATTGTAATACTGCATATTTTTTTTAATGCACCATTTGTAAATTGTATGCAATGAAATATAAACTAGAGGATAATGGTACCATATTTTACAAATATCTAAACATTAGAAGTGCGCATGACTAATCATAAACAAATATATTAGCAGGTAGATAAAACATTCAGTACCAGAAGGAATATATTCAATGTAAGGAAGGCGATCTTTCATTACTAAATCAAGAGGAGTAAAGCCTTCATGATCTACAGAGCGTAGATTTGCACCATTCTGTAAAAAAAATATATAAGAAATACAATAAACAACCAGTAGAAGAAAACAATATATAATTTATAAAACTAAAGAACGCTTTTAATGCTATGACACTTAAAAGAAGAAGAAAAAAAAGGGGTGGGGGTGGGAAACAGTTCATGTTTTTCCTTCCTTTTTGTATCAGAAAACTTTCGTTAATTTGGTTGCTTCAAAAATATTTCTGCAAATTTGGTTATTACACCAGAATATTTCTGTTAATTTGGTTGCTTTATCATATAATTATTCTGATCCATTAAAATAAAACTGATGTTCAGGTATAAAATCATAAACTGATCAGAAAGTGTTTTCTTTTACAATATTTTTATTGGGTTTAACATTATCTTAAATTCAATAAAATTTATGATATTGTTTGATATTGATATATTCAACATTTCCCCTTCAGCAACTTAACTTATGAATAAGTTTGAGTAATTCAAACTTATGAATAAGTTTAGTAAGTGGTAAGCAATAATTCTCTTAAAAATAAACTGCAGAAAAATAAAAATCTCTCTCTTTTTTCTAAAGTGCTAGATAATTGTTCTCTTAACTAAGCAATGTTCCTATACTTACTAATACTTAACAGTACTGCTTTTATTTTAAGTCTACATGGAAAAACACACTTCAGTTTAAATGTAAGCAATTATTTCATTTATGACACTTATTAGATTTTATATTTTTCGCAAGGAAAAAATCCTTCAAATTAATGTTGAATTTCAACAATTATTTCTGAGGTATAATTCTTTTAATAAATATGTACAGAAAAATTTTCTTGTTTGAAACTAATTGTAAACTTTTTTATATTCAATTTTTTTTTTAATATCATGACTAAGCACATAATTTTGAAATTTAGGCCCAATTATTCATGTACCTCTGATTTGATGTCATGGATTTGCACTAATGATGTTATCATTATTCTGGGTTAAATATTTTTCTAGTTCAAATACTTCAATGATAGGTGCAAGTAAAGACCAATATTAAAATACCCTTATAATAATTACTATTTATATCTAGTCTAAATATAAGTTCATATTAAATATAGAATAATGCGAGTTGTGCAAAACACCATTGTTTTGAATGAATAATATTGAATAAAATGAATAATATTGTTTCAAACTATTATTATTCAGTAACTTTTTATTTATTCATTTATTTTTTTAAAGGTCTGATGCCAGTTAAGTTCTGCCTGTTTGATATAGAATGCTATCTATCAATATTTTGAAAGTATATCTAATTAAAATAATTGATTTTTTAATTATTAGCAAATTTAACTAAAAATACAAGTTCAATAAGCATATTCACACACAGAAAATTAAATGATACAGACAACACAATGTAGGGGAAATAAGTAATGAAACATACCATGCAAAGTACCCTAGCAGAAGCAAGCTGTCCATAGAAGAAACTACGATGCAAAGAAGACCAACCAGATTCATGATCTTTTATATCAAAATCTATATGAACTTGTTTAATCAACCACTCCACAATCTCCCACTTACCATTACTGGAAGCAGCATGAAGAAGATTTCGTCCTAACTCATCAGTGACAGTGGCAAAATTATGACAAAGCCACCTAAAAAAAAAAAATTTCACTTAAAATAACCTATAACAGTCTTTCTTTAAAATATAACGTTTTAATAAAAAAGAACAATTATTTTAGAACAGTTATCAATTTAGCAACTGTCACTGATACAACCTAACACATCAATGACAGTGGCAAAATTTCATATACAGTACAGAACCCGTTATCCGTAAATCAGAAAACCGGAAAACCAAAAAATCGGAACGAAATTCGATAAATTTTCCAGCCTTTTTTTAAATAAAATGTTTTTTTCCTCATAAGATTTTAGGATTTTTCTTTCTACTTTGAAAGATGTTTATCTTACTTTTTTTTTTTGGAAATAATCATTAGTGTATTACTTAATCGTTTTTTCTTCTTTTTAAGATTATTTCCAAAAAAAATTTTTTTAGTTGGGTTTAACAATAAAAAAGAACGGCTTTTTGTAGCGATTCGGAAAACCGGAAAAATCAGTTATTCGGAATAGCGATGGTCCCGATCGTTCCGGATAATCGGTTCCCTACTGTATATATATATTTTAAATAATAAGTCTTCTTTAACTAAAAAATAATAACAAGGATAACAGTTCTTTTAAATACTGTAAAATATATTTTTTAATTAAAAAAAAATTATTTTAGCAAAGTCAGTATGGTAGGTAAAGTCTTAGTCTTAAACCTAGGTTTGATTCTCTCAAGTAAAAGGTTTATATCCGTTTAGATTACTTTTTATCAGATCTTGTCTTAATGTTATTTTCGAAACCAATCTAATACAATATCCATAGTGAAAGACCCACGCACAGTTGCATATATTTGATATTATAGTAATATCATGACTGCATGCTTCAGATTTTATCCTCATTACTCACTTTATCACAGATGCTGCAAATGGTGGCTATTCTAAAAACATTGCCTTATAGTTTTTTTTCCTTTCAGAAAGCAGCACCATCTGTTGATAAATTATAAAACTGATATTTAAACTTTACAAGAAAAATTTCCAGTTCCCTTAGCATAGCATAGCAAACCATAAATTTCTATTTTTTTTTTCTTCAATTGTTTTTTAAAATTACCTGTCACCTAAGAATGAATTCATTTAGCATTTTGGGGACACTTTGTGATTCTCAAACATAAATTCAACAAGCATTGTTGGAACTCTTGGTAATTCTTAAGCATAAATTCATATAACTTACACAGCATACGCTTTTAACTGAGATGGAGTAGCAGTACAAACACATCCTTGAATAAGATTTGCATGAACAAAAGATTTACATCTTGGAGTACAATCCCTTTCTAGCTGATGTTCCATTTATAAATCTGCTTCTTGGAATCTCTTGTTATAAGTATAAAATTGTGCGTTGAAAAATTGGAAAAAAATAAAAATATAATTGAAAACTAAAGAAAAATAATAAAGAAAAATAAAATCATAAATTTATTTCAGCATTCCCCCCATGGGGATGCTGTTCCTAGATCACACTTTTGAAAGCCATAATGGTTGAATTGCACCTATAAAAAATAAAAACTTACAATTAACGAAAAATGATAATATTCAATTAAAATAACATAATTCAAATATATTTTTATAAGTTGACATGAGTTAACAGATTGAAAGAAAAAGTAATATAACGGAAGAAAAATTAATAAATTTCATTAATAAATGCTTTTCTATTTATGTTTAATTATTTTAAATAATATGTTTAAAAAATAACTTAATAATTTTGATATAGCATATAAATTCACCCAAATTAAAATAAAATATTGCCTATTCATATTTTTATGAAATTGCTGCAAAGGTGTAATAGATTGCATTATAAGGCAGTTTAAAAAATTTATAATATTCAACATCAAAAATTTCTAAATTGCCGGATTAAAATTTCGCAAAGCAGATTTAGCACTGATGTTGTATCAATACATCTTATCCATATACATCAGATAAATATTTTCCTGTTCGAACAGCATTTTTTCCTTTTTAATATTAAAAAAGCAAAATATTCTGATATGTAACTTTTCACTCTCTTTATTTGAAAAAGCAACAACCAAAAACTACTGCATAGAATCACTCAAACTTTTTCACAAGCAAACCTAGCCATATATAATGATTATGCGGTTTACATGTCAAGTTGGCAGTAAATAAATACAATTAACTTTTCTGTTTGGAAAAAATAAAATTATTCTTTGAACAACCCAACATTTGTTTCAAATGAAAAATTTATTAATATATAGACATTGGTTCTAAAGTTTCGACCTTACTTAAGAAATAGATTTTAGATAGAGTAGTATAGATAATAAAAATTATATAATAATTAGGTATGCATAAAATATTAAATTAACTTACACTTTTTAATATGAATATAATTAAGTAACATCTTATAAAAGCACTTTAACCAGCAAAATTGCTTAGGATAATAAAAAAATAATTGTTTACACTTTAAAATATTCCAATTATGTGTGATTATATACAGATATATAAACATATATGTGTGTGAGTACATATATCTGTACGTATTGTTTTATTCATTATTATATTTCAAAAAATATTTCAAGTGTCAATCTAGGATTTCTATCTGAGACTTGCCTTATAAAAAAGAAATCTTTACCCAAACAAAAATGACAGACGACACAATTAAATAATTATTTCAAAAAAAATAATAATAAATAAATAAAATAAATACACCAATTAACTAAAGCATAAATCTCGAAAGTAACACTATCTCATATAAATTATTATTTTTTATCAAAACTTATAAATAGAAAAATTGAAATATGACGTACAATTCAGAAGAAATTAAGGAACACGCTGTCAGATCGGTTTGACAAATAAAAATATTTTGCTGGATTAGACATTTTAATGTTTACACAGCTTCTCAAATAAATAAAGAACGAAGATAATAATAAAATAGCTACATTCAATAATGATTTGAAATCTTATCTTAATTCTATTTTTCTAAAATAGAAACTGATGTTATATAATTAGAGAGCAAAATATAAGTTCAAGACTTCGATTTGGAACGATACAAACAAATTGCATCACCAAGATCAATTTACGCGACGAAAGGATCATCGGAACGATTTAGATTGTCTATTTCTTTCTCTCTTTAGAAAGCTGCTTTTGCTAGCCGTAAACTTTTAATATTCCTTAAAAATTTGCAACAGCAATGATTTATAGATGGCGCTTTGCAAAATCTGCCCTCCAAATCATCACTGCTAAATCTGTCAAAAAGAGAAAAATTAAAAATAGCAATTTTGTTTGCTCTAATCTTAATGCCTTAAAATAATTGCTGAAAGTATTGAAATATTGTGTAAATTTTAAAATATAATTTAATCAAGGCTGTTGCTTGGCTGACCGCTTTTTTAATAAATAGAGGCATTTGATTGGTCGATTACATCATCGTTTTCATCGTTATCGCTTAATCGTTTTGTCAGGTTTACTAGAATGGCGCTTTTAGCATTTTTGCTTGGCAGAATTTTAATAACGCGCATGCTCAGTTTGATAATTTATTTAAACCAATCGAAGTACTTCGTAGACAATGAATATAGATGCTTGTATCCTCTCCTTTGCTTGCGTATACTCAAACAAAGACATAAAGATGGAAAGATCAATCACTGTACCAAACAGATGTCAGGGTGAACGAAACATTGGACACATCACCGGTCTCTATTTTTTTTATTTGATTTTCATAAATTGTTATGATAAATAATAACATTCTGTCTCTGTGCCAGAAAAATCTGAACAAATTTTTTTTAAAGATTTATAATTTGTAAATTTTAAATGAAAAAATTAATGTATTTTAAAAAATTGATTTTTATATTGTTCTGAAATTCAAATACTTGAAATAAATATTAAAAAAACAATTTAAGTGCTTATTAAAAATATATAAAAAATATAAAAGTAACTAAAAAATAAATAAAATAATTAAAATAAAATAGAACAGTTTTATAAGCAATCTAAGCTGCCCAAAGCATTTAATTTCATGAAGAACAATAAATTGGAAAATGTTAATAATTGCTGAGATAGAGTCTCATAATTGCCTGTTAGCGTTCAGTTAGTTAGTTATTAAAACTTTTTCATGGTTTTCATTTGTGCGTAATCTAAATTCTAATTATTTTCATTCAAGAAGTCTTTCAAAATATAATTTCATTCCTGTATTTAAATTACAAGTAACTTTGATATCTGGGTGGCCTACAAAAATTCAAAAAAGTACAAAAAAAATTTAGAGCATTTCACAGCATTTACTATTTATCAAAGATGAT